TAGACTATTTATAGGCTATTAGGACCTGACAGTTACACCAAAAATAATGACCATTAAACAAGAAAATGGTTACACCAAAATAATGACCATTGACCAAGTTCATGAATTCTATTTAACCTCCATTTATGACCAAGAGGTTACCAAAGTAATGAAACCCCATTTATGAAAAAGATAAATCAATAAATAAATATAAGATATTAAAATGGTCCAACACAAACCATACATATAATTAGGATTATAAATTTTTATATCTATTGCAAAATAAACTTAGATGAGAGAAAATTATGTATCTCAATAATTCAGCTGGATAACCAATTATACACTAATTCATGAATTGTTAATGCCCTAACTATTAATCCTTACTAATCAAACAAGCCCTTTATGTATATCTTAATTGAGTTATAAAAATTGAATTTTGAATATTTTAAATGAAACTTTGGTCGTGGATCCATAATGTATCTCCCGATTATTATCACTTTGAAATATACTTTTTAACAAATTAATTTTTCCAAATCATTCAACCACTCAAAAAGTAAATATCATTTTTCTCATTTCATTTTATTGCTTGGTTTTTACTTTGAATATACTGTTGCACTCAAACTCAGCTCATTTGATTATCTAACTCGAGCTCCGCTCGATAACTAATTGAACTTGAGCTCTACTCAACTAGTTAATATTAATTGAGCTCGAGCTTGACTCAAAGCTCGATAATGATTTTTTTAATTATTATTTATATATTTAAAATATATATTTAATATATTTATATATTATTTGATAAAAAATTTAAATGAAAATATTGTTTATATTATTTTAAGATATAAATAAGAGAAAATTGGTGATAAATCCAATTTAGAGAGCCTCTAAGGCATTTGATCCAGTGGATATCTTTTGTTGGTGAGAAATCCTGTAGGACATTTTGTTTTCAATTTACGCCATTGACTTTTTTTTATCTGTTTGACTTTTCATTGACTATCATATTTTTTCCTATCTGTTCAATTTTTTTACCCTTTCTATTTAATTTTTTAATCTTTTTAATTCAAATTTTCCTTATCTATTTAAATATTTGTCTAAATAAAATCCTATCTATCCAATTTTTTGTTTATCTATCCAATTTTTTTGTCTATCTATTTAATTTTCCACCCTATTTGAACAAATCTATCATCTTACCTGTTGAAAATCAATTACAACAAATTTGTTATGTGTACCCAAAATTTATTATTGTGCTATATGTTCAAATCTTTCATCTCTTACTGTTGCAATCTGTTTCTTCTTTATCACCCATTATCTGTTAAAATCATTCCATAAACAAAGATTCATCATCATTACGGCACAGATTCATCATCATCATCATCATCATCATCAGCAACAACAACAGCAGCAACAAAATTAATATTCTAAACATTCATGCTGAATATGAGTGGAAAAATGCCACTTTAAAATTCCATAAGAAAATTTTTTGACTATCATCTATTTAATTTTGTGACTATCATCTCTTCTCCTCCTATCTGCCGCAATTTGTTTCTTCATCATCATTATCAACTCTTTACTTGTAGATAGGATAGAAGAAAGGGAAATGTATCAATTTTCCATTTTAGAATAAGTGTCAAAACAATAGAAAACTTTTAAATCTTGCCTTTCAATTTATGTAACTTGTCTTTGTTTTCTCTATAACCAAACATAAGATGAGAAAGTTCATTATGCAATAAACATCAAACGAGGCTTGTAAATTGAAATCTAGATCAAAGTTTCATATCTCACAACTGAAATCGATTTGTTATCAAAAAAAGAGAAACAAATAGTAGCAGACCAGTCATGGATGACTAATCTCCCATTAAATACAAGATCATTTTTTTATCAGTAAAAAAAGAATTTTATTGATGAAGATCCAGTACACGACAATAGATATACATTCAAGTTCATTTTTTGCCAAGATCACTTCAACATGTAGTACGCTGACTAAGTTTTTGAGTTACACTACAACATATAATTATTTTTTTTTCCTCAAAAGTGAAAATTTTGTTACAAAAAATATTTAGAGACCAATTACTGTCGTTGCGAGAATAATCACTAAACGATTATCCCGAAAAGTACAAAGATGACTTTTAGTGACAATTTTGAAAATGTCACTAATAAATTCACTTTTATGGACAAAATAATTTAGTCCCAAAAAAGTTTATTTTTTGAGACAAATTTTGGTGTCAAAAGGATAATAATTCATCACTAAATGTCTAATTTCGTTGTAAAAATATAATAAAAACACTTTTAGCAATAAAAATATTGTCTCTAAAATATAATTTTGTCTCTAAATTTTTTTCTCTAAAATAGGGTCACCTCGTCTGTGAGCTAGTGGCCTTTTAACTGTGTCTATGTCCCAAGTTTTGCTGTATATCTTTTTTCTTTTTCTTTATTTTTTTGTAAGTGGTAAACATTCTTCTTTAGTATTACCAATTTGTCCTCTCATAATTAGTATTACCTCAGTAGCTGGAAATCTATACTAATACTAAAGACGTCATACTTGTTGGTTTTAGATTTTTCAAGGTTGAATCAAATTTTAAGGCAATAGAGTTTGAACAGAATTACCCCCTATGACCATTTTGACAGAAATTCAGTGTTCACAATTTCAAGAATGACCAAATTTTTTAATTATAACATGATGCATGTTTACACTCATCATCAAGACTTTAATTATAGTAAGATCTTGGAAGTTAGAAATTAGGCTAAATTACACCAGTGTGCAGTTATGTTTGTGATATAAATCATTTTACTTTGAAACACTGGAGGAAAACAAATCAAAGTTGGACCTACACTGCCTACTATAACAAATAAAGTTGGACCTACACTGCCTACTATAACAAATAAAGTTGGACCTACACTGCCTACTATAACAAATAAAGTTGGACCTACACTGCCTACTATAACAAATAAAGTTGGACCTACACTGCCTACTATAACAAATAAAGTTGGACCTACACTGCCTACTATAACAAATAAAGTTGGACCTACACTGCCTACTATCTTTTGACTTGGGAGGAGAAAAATGGACTAAGAAACTATAATAGCAATTAAGTTTACACCCTCTGAAAAAAAAAAAGAAAAAAAAAAGAAAAAAAAAAAAGCAATTAAGTTTACATTTCATGAATATTTTTTAGCAAATAATACTAAAATTTCTTTAGATTGAGTTCATTCCACGATCAAGCAATTAAGGTTATGAGGACTCGTTATACTCGTTTCAGTTTAGCTAAATTATCCCTACTAGCTGGTGATGTTTCTGTAATGATATATAGACGTAGTGTTTAGTTTAGTTTATTATTGGATGGGGAGGGATTATCTAGGGTATCTTCCGCCCAATCTAGCCTAATTTATCCCTAGTAATTAGTGATATTGCTATAATAATGTATAGACACTGTGTCCATATTTTTTTTAATTCAGATATCTGCTGCCCAATCTAATCCGTTTAGACTTGAGTTACCTCGTATCTGGACAGTTAAGAATTAATCCCTAGAGATCTTAAAGATAAGAATCGGGTAGACTTCCAATGGCCCTTTGGAAGGCTTGAACTCGAGAACTTAGATCTTATTCTCAAATTTTTACCGTTTTACTAACTCTTTGGAGTTACATGGTGTCTTGTTTCATGGCTGATGTGTTAAATTGTAACAAGGGTTGAGATATGTTTAACAAGATATCAACTTAGTAAAGTCTATATAATTACTTGGAAGTAAAGCATACTTGTGGTATGGATTGCCCTATATTACTTTTTGCAAGGACTCTCTCTCTATATATATATACTTTTGGAGCTTTGTTTTTGTGGCAGCATAGACTTTCTGTTTTTTTTTCCCTTTCCCTCTTTAAACTATTCACCCTCTTGCTATTTTTTTCTGCTTCTTTTTCCATGATTAAGAGAGCCTTAGAAAACTTTTGCATTCCCTAGTGAAGTTATTCTTTGGATCCTTTTTGTTTCATCTTTAAAATAGTAGAAATAATGGCGGTGATGACTGCAGAACATTGCAGACTCTCAGAGATAATCATTGTTCAAGAAAATTGGAACCAAGATTGGACAAGCTTCAGTAAGACGTGCTGGACTAAAAATAGAACAAATGCAGATTATAATGTCAATTAATAAAATAAAGAGTAGTTGATGTGTGCTGGGTTGATTTGGTGAGTAGTGTGGTGTATGCTGTTCTGCTGGTGTATGCTGTTCTGCTATGGTGCCTAGTCGGTGGTTGCTGTAGTGCTCTGTTGGTGTATGTTGTTCTGCTATGCTGCCTAGTTGGTGTGTGCTGTGTTGATCTGGTGAGTAGTGTGGGAGATTTCCTATCTGTGTTTGAATTTTGGTCGGCTATGGAGGTTCTGCATAGTTATGGGAAGGCTGCTTGATTGTTCTATTTATGTGTTCATTTTGAAGGCAAATGGTTTATGGGCTGAATTGTTTGGGAAGGCTGAAATGTTTATGGCTCCAATGTTTCAGTTGTTTAATGTAAGCAAAGCTTGTCAAAGTTGGAAAAGTCGGTGCTTATCAGTTTTACTATCAGTTTGGCTGTTACTATCAGTTTTGGCTCCTACCAGTTTATCTACCAGTTTGGCTTCTTAGCTCCAACTTATAGACTAGTTTATCTATCTGTTTGTCTTTTCTCTTGCTCTATTTTGTTGATTTCTCACCAACTGACGCTTGGAGCTTTTTCTTAGCTCCAAGCTCCTCTTTATCGATGTAATATTTCATACTTTGTATGTTTCATCAATAAAGATTTTGTTTTTGCCGATAAAAAAAAAAATGTTACACTCATTATTTAAAATATTAACCCCATTGATTCAATAAAAAAAATAGAATAAAAATTAGTTAAATTGCTATGCTAATTGTATCACTCAAGATGACTATGATAATTTAGTAAAATTTATTAGATTTTTAATACATTTGAACATGAGTACAATATTATTTTAATAGCAACTTTATCACCGCACAAAACCTACTATAAAAATCAGCTAAATCAAATCATACAAATCACGACGCAACTAAAATGACATAAATTACATATAAAATTGCACAATTGTGTAATTATTTATTACATTGTTGTTTGCACTTTGTGCTTTAAAGCTTCAAGAAATTTTGGTTTTATTGTACTTTAGTCCTTCAATGCCATAAACAATTCTCAATATCACCCATCAAAGTAAAAAGGGAATAAGAAATAAATAAATAAATAATAAAAGGAAAGAAATAGATGGCCCACTCATCAATTTATGCAGCCTCACTATCAAGTTGTTTTTTCTTTGCAAATACAAAGAGCAATTCATGTTCTACAACCTGTGATAAAAAACAAGAACTGAGAACGAGAAACAACATGCAGTTTCAAATTAAATTTCAATGAAATTATATTGGTAACATTAATTTTTTTTTTTTTTTGTATAAAATGATGTGACAATGACATTTTTATAGTTTTGAACTTAAATGATGAATTTCTTTACTTTTAAGAGTGAATATATGTACACGACACATCATTGTGTATATAAATTTTATTTGTATATTGTTACCTTTACAAACAAAATATTATACAGAATGATATTGTTAAGTTGTGGGTGCATCATTTAAAAAAAAAACAAAAAAATAAACCATCAAAATGTGTCAATTATAAAAATATTGTTGTCGTATCATTTTAATAGATAGTTATAATTATGTGTAAAACTTTTGAAAGAATAGGATTTTCTAATAAACAAGTTCTTAAATTCCATTCTCATGTGATTTAGAGAATAAAAAGAAAAAAAAGAAGAAAAATATTATAATAGTAATTTTTGCACAAGGTTTTGAAGCTGCAAAGACCTCCAACAACTTATGTTGGCTTGTGTGTTGCAAGTAACAAGAAACTCTGTGGGGTTTATACTGGGTATGCCTAGGCTCTGTGGTGGATTTATTTGATTGGTGGATTGGCACTAGAATCAGGAAGAAGGAACTTCAAATATGGAATGCCTTAACATTTGTTGTTTTGTAGTCAATTTGGAAGCTCAGGAACAATTGTGTGTTCAATAGAGCCCTCTTCCATCTCTGTGTAGATGTCCAAAACATTCTTCACTAATGCTTGATCAATCTCCTGTCCTTCACGCTCTTGATCAATCCGAAACATATCACATGGATGGGTCAAAACTGTTTATGTATTAAGATAATTTAATCCAACAACCATTTAATAAATAGTATTAATCAACCGGATTGAATAAGGTATGAGATTGACAAATCAATCTCACCAAACCATGTACTTTATTAAACTCTTTTTCAATGGGTGGTGGTGGTGGCGATGTTTGAATTTTGAATTTGTAAATGAAATTCTTTTTTTTTCCCCTTTTATTCTTTTTCCTTTACAAAATTTCTAATCAAATTTAAAATTTAAATACAACTTAAAGGATGGCTAAGTGAACCTTCCCAACCAAAATCAAGTAAAAAGTAAGGATTTAAATTGTACTGAGACTTGCGACTCTTATATGAAAAGTTAGAGATTCAAACATCAAGGTAGACTAATGGTTAAAAGTTTTATTCTCCACTTTTCCTTGAGGTCATCCCAAGACTTAGATCCGATAATTATCTGATATATGTGAGATAAACGGGTTACATGTATTGGGAGAATTAGTTAGGTGAAAGACAAAGTCGTGAGGGACAAAAAAAAAAAGGCAATCATGAAGGCTAAATTTGGTGAGGTGTAAGGGGGAGAAGAAAAAAAGAAAAGAAAAAGAAGGCAATTAGCCTTGTTAAACTACAATGAGGATACAATTACATTCATTTAAAAATATTATGAAACAAAACATACCATAGATATTACAACATCCCTCACTTGATCATTCATTTCCCCGTAAACCTAAACATGAAAAAAAAAAAATTGTTAGAATAATTTATGTAGAAAACCAAACAACTTTTAACAACAAAAAATGGCATTGCCTCACTAAAAAATGAGCGAATTTACATACACCTAATTAAATTTGAAAAGTATATCAAGAATGTATTTGCACAATGGGGTGTACCTGAGTATTTTTATTTAACAACATTCACATAATTTTTATTAGAAGTGGGTATCAACATGTTAACATATTCATTCTTGATATTTTTCGGTAACTTAACTTTAGTTAATTACACGGAGTACCCTTACACTTTTACTAATTTAACACTTTAGATAATTTATTTTCAATTGTGACAATTAACCTCTCACACATTAAGTCTAATCATAAGGTTAACAGAACTTATTATGTAAGTGATACATACCATTTTCATATCCTCATTTGCTCCCCTACACTTTTACTAGAATCTCATTTTAATCTTTACACTTTCACCAAAAACTCACTTTTGAGTCTTGACCTTCCATTTTTAATTTTTGTCCGCCTCACAAATGATAGGTGAAAGGAATAATAACATTATAAGTTGACTTAAAGTGTAAAATGTTGATTATCACAATTAATAATAAATGGACCAAAATAAGATTTTAATAAAAATACATAACTACTAAAGTTGTATTTGCATCATGAATTTGGAAAGGATTTAGAGAAAAGAAAAGAGAAATAGAGAAAAAAATACCTTATATTTCCCTCATCTTTTTCTTTCTCCTTTTCAAATTTCTATTTAAATTTATAATTCAAGCACATATAAGTCTAAGTAACCCTTTAATTCTATGTCAAAAATATATAATTAGTAGCATTACCAACCAGTTCATAGAAGGTCATGAAGCTTGTCTCTAGCAGTTTGGGTAGTCTTTTGATTGCGGTGAGGTATCTATCAAAAAATTTAAAAAATCTTGAGAGCCAGTGAGTCATAACCTTGTGTTATTCCATCTTTTTGCTAGTTCTTGTAACAAATTCTCATCTTTCTTTTCCCTTAAAGATGGTAGTACCTGACAACAAAAAAATAAAAAAATAATTATATCTCTAGTGAGAGAAATTTTCAATGTGCACTCTTTTTTAATGTAATCAGTGTATTTGATTTCAATTTTTTAAATTCAGTTTTTTAAAAATTAAGTGTTTTTATTTTTCATATTTTTTTGCTTTTAGCGAATATTTTTTAAATTTTAAGCAATTTTTTATTTTTATTTTTTTAGATACACCTTACGTAGATATATCTAAATAGTAAAATATTTGTGAAAAAATATTTTAAAAAATTAATAAATACACAAAATACGAAAAATATACTGAATTTTCATACTTTTTTTTTGTATTTTTTGGTATTTTGTGAATTTTTAAAAGTTTTTTCCAAAAATATTATACTTTTAAGTGTATTTATGTTAAGGCTAAAAATTAAAAAAATTTCATAAAATATTAAAAAAATTAAGGGAAAATAAAAGAATACGAAAAACGAAAAAGTAAAATTTTTTGAAAAGTGAATTTTGAAAACTGAAATTAATCAGAGTGATTTTTTTTTATGAGAAAAGTTATTAATTATTTGATATATGTTATGATATATGGGTTTGATGTGACATTTTGTCTTATTAGCTATTTTAACCTATTTTATTTTTTTGTAAATTTTAGTCCAAAAAGCCAAAAAATAGCCATGGATCAGCAATGTATAAGAGATATGAATGATTATTGATTAAAAAAAATATGAGAGTCAATAATGCTAGACATGGATGAATTTATTTGTGCCATAGCTATTCTCAATAAAAAATATGTTTGAAAAAATGTAAAATCAATTCATAATAATGTGATGAGTATTTTTTATTTTATTTTTTTCATTTTAAAACAAAAGCTCATCAAAGTGGCTTGTATTTTCTAAATTCCAATGTCACAACATCCTTGTGAAAAAAGTTAGCATAAATATTTTGTACATATATCATTTGTGAAATGCTAATGAAACAGAATTTTTATGCAAGATTATGTAGGATGGCATTTCTGTAATTATATGTCCTTGAAATAGACACTTTGCTCTAAAATGATAAGTCAAAAGCCACATCATTCAATATTTATTTGTAATTTTATCTTAAAATATCATAACATATATCAAATAATTAATAAATTTTCTCATAAAAAAATCACTCTGTTTAGTTTCAGTTTTCAAAATTCACTTTTCAGAAAATTTTACTTTTTCGTTTTTCGTATTTTTTTATTTTTACTTAATTTTTTTAATATTTTAAGCAATTTTTTTTTAATTTTTAGCCTTAACATAAATACACTTAAAAGTATAATATTTTTAGAAAAAACTTTAAAAAATTCACAAAATACCAAAAAATACCAAAAAAAAAAAGTACAAAAATTCAGTATATTTTTTGTATTTTGTGTATTTATTAATTTTTTAAAATATTTTTTCACAAATATTTTACTATTTAGATATATCTAAGTAAGGTGCATCTAAAAATTTTTTTAAAAAAATTTGCTTGAAATTTTAAAAATATTCCCTAAAAGGAAAAAAAAATATAAAATAAAAAAACTTAATCTTCGAAAAATTAAATTCAAAAAATTGAAATTAAACACACTGATTACTTTTTTTTAAAGAGTGCACACTGAAATTTCTCTGACTAGGTATATAATTATTTTTTTATTTTTTGTTGTTAGGTACTACCATCTTTAAGGGAAAAGAAAGATGAGAATTTGTTACAAGAACTAGCAAAAAGATGGAAGAACACAAGGTTATGACTCACTGGCTGTCAAGATTTTTAAAATTTTTTGATAGATACCTCACCGCAAACTGCTAGAGACTAGATTCATGACCTTCTTTGAACTGGTTGGTAATGCTACTAATAATTATATATTTTTGACATAGCATTAAAGGGTTACTTAGACTTATATGTGCTTGAATTATAAATTTAAATAGAAATTTGAAAAGGAGAAAGAAAAAGATGAGGGAAATATAAGGTATTTTTTTCTCTATTTCTCTTTTCCTTTCTCTGAATCCTATCCAAATTCATGATCCAAATACAACTTTAGTATTTATGTATTTTTATTAAAATCTTATTTTGGTCCATTTATTATTAATTGTGATAATCAACATTTTACACTTTAAGTCAACTTATAATGTTATTATTCCTTTCACCTATCATTTGTGAGGCGGACAAAAATTAAAAATGGAAGGTCAAGACTCAAAAGTGAGTTTTTGGTGAAAGTGTAAAGATTAAAATGAGATTCTAGTAAAAGTGTAGGGGAGCAAATGAGGAATTGAAAATGGTATGTATCACTTACATAATAAGTTCTGTTAACCTTATGATTAGACTTAAAGTGTGAGAGGTTAATTGTCACAATTGAAAATAAATTATCTAAATTAAATTAGTAAAAGTGTAAGGGTACTCCGTGTAATTAACTAAAGTTAAGTTACCGAAAAATATCAAGAATGAATATGTTAACATGTTGATACCTACTTCTAATAAAAATTATGAGAATGTTGGTAAATAAAAATACTCAAGTACACCCCATTGTGTAAATACATTCTTGATATATTTTTTAAATTTAATTATGTGTATGTAAATTCGCTCATTTTTTAGTAAGACAATGCCATTTTTTGTTGTTAAAAGTTGTTTGGTTTTCTACATAAATTATTCTAACAATTTTTTTTTCATGTTTAGGTTTATGGGGAAATGAATGATCAAGTGAGGGATGTTGTAATATCTATGGTATGTTTTGTTTCATAATATTTTGAAATGAATGTAATTGTATCCTCATTGTAGTTTAACAAGGCTAATTGTCTTCTTTTTCTTTTCTTTTTTTCTTCTCCCCCTTACACCTCACCAAATTTAGCCTTCATGATTGCCTTTTTTTTGTCCCTCACGACTTTGTCTTTCACCTAACTAATTCTCCCAATACATGTAACCCGTCTATCTCACATATATCAGGTAATTATCGGATCTAAGTCTTGGGATGACCTCAAGGAAAAGTGGAGAATGAAACTTTTAACCATTAGTCTACCTTGATGTTTGAATCTCTAACTTTTCATATAATTTAAATCCTTACTTTTTACTTGATTTTGGTTGGGAAGGTTCACTTAGCCATCTTTTAAGTTGTATTTAAATTTTAAATTTGATTAGAAATTTTGTAAAGGAAAAAGAAAAAAAGGGAAAAAAAAAGAATTTCATTTACAAATTCAAAATTCAAACATCGCCACCACCACCACCCATTGAAAAAGAGTTTAATAAAGTACATGGTTTGGCGAGATTGATTTGTCAATCTCATACCTTATTCAATCCGGTTGATTAATACTATTGTAGACACCCCATTTTTGACGGACCTTAAGACTCAGATGTCACCAACTGAGCGCTCGGTGATGTTGCATATTGTGCTCATTCTGAGGTTGCGGAGTCTCGGCTGCGAGCATTGCCTCCGGACTTCGGGTCTTTTTTGTGCTTTGCCTCGGTTTGCCAACCAGGTCCTGTTTTCTCTGTTTTCTCTTCCCGAAGGGAGGGAGAGGTCTCGTAGACCATCTCTCAGTGGTCGTAGGCTACGTTTCGTGGTCGTAGGCCATTTTTCCCGTTTGGAGCCCAGTTTCCGGTTTTCGGAACCGTCGGCTGTGTGCCTCGGTTCGGGACCGCTTAACTACCTCCGTCTGCTCTAATTTTTGGTACACACCTTGTTTCCTCCCTTTGGAGGGACACTGTGGCTCGGGAGACCACCTTCGTGGTCATACGCCACTTCCGATGCCTAATAGCCTGTTTTTGGGGCCCCGGATTGCGCGTTTTGGCCCCCGAACCTTCGCTTTGCATTCGTCTTGGTCCATTTTTGGTAGGGACCCTGTTTTCATTGCTAGGAAGGTGGTAGTATGGTGGGAGGCCACATTTTCCCCTTGGAAATCAGCTTTCTCTTTTTCTCTCTCCTCCAGCCGGTTTTTCTGACAGAAAGCTGGTTTTTCTCACTTTTGAGCCACAATTTCTGGCTTTTCATACCACCATTGTGTTGTGCTCATCTGGGAGGCCACCAATATGGATAGGCCAACCAGTAATTCTTCTTGACCCTTTTGAACCTTGCTAAAAAGCTGGTTTTTCTCTCTCCTGGGTCACATTTTCTGATTTTCCACCATATAGCTGTGTTGCACTCATCTGGGAGGCCACCTTTCTGGGGTGGCCGGCTAGCATTTCTCCTTGAACCTTTTGACTCCTGGTCGGCCGACAAGGGGGAGTGGCCGGCCGACCACTTGAACTGGTCGGCTTGTTTCTTGCTTTTTGCTCTCTCTGAATGCATCACAGTTGTGCTAGCTGGGAGGCATTTGGACCATCCTCCATATTTGAAGCTTCCAAGAGAAGCTTTAGAACCTCTCCTCTATAAAGGAGGGGCTGAGCTTCCATTGCAAAGGTTGAACCCTTTGGTTAGAGCATACATACACTTCCCTCCATATCTCTCTCTTCCAAGCTCCAAAACCCCTTTGTTCTTGCACCATTTACACTACACCTCCTAGCCTACCACCTCCACCATCCATTCAACCACCTTGGGACTGATTTTCAGAGGTTGAGAGCTCACTTTCTTGGTCCAGAAGTTGCTGCATTGCTGTGCTACAAGGGTAAGTCTCCATTTCCCTCTTTTTGACATTATTTTGCTCCATTCTTTAGCCCTATTTCCAAGCATTTTTGGGTTTTGTTATAAACTTTAAAGTGTCTTATTTTGAGCTCCTCTTGAAGTTTGATTAAGGATACTTTTTTGTTTGAGGTCTCCTACATCCTTGTATGCTTTATCTCTTTTTTAGGGCTTATTTTGCATGATGTCTTAGCCTTACTTGCAAGCATTTTTGGGATTTTCCATAAACTAGAAAAAGTCTTGTTTTGATCTTCTAAACATGTTTGTTTAAGGACTCTTTTCTGTTTGGGGTCATCTTCCCCCTTCCATGCTTCATTTCCTTATGTTTTGAGCCTTGCATGTGAGCATTTGCATTGGCCTTGGTTTGGCCTTTTAGCCACTCAAATCCAGTGGATTTTCAGTGGCTTAGATGTATTTTTGAGTTTCAAAATCAGAGAGGGGTGACCCTCTCACCCCT